AAAAGACTTCAATAGCTAAACAGAACAGTTGATTCAACATATAACATACTGAAAAACCAGATTTTGCCACTAAATACTCAGTTCATCCCCCCAATCTGACAAGCAGGCCCCAAATGTACTGAAAACCAAAGTTAAACACGCATTTCATATATAGAAAATTCAAGTTAAGTATCTCTAAAATATACAACAATAACCCAAAAAAGATAATCAAAGACAGCTCAAGTTTAGGTTCTAAGTTCGAACACCTTTGATCCCTCTAGCACATCTTGTAATAATCTCACATCCCCTACTATAATGATTAGCTTGACCAGCATGACAATCGTAGTAAGAAGCACCAGGCTTCTCACAAGGGACCATATCCCTCCTCAGTGTCTCATAACTGATGTACCTTCTCTGCATCAAAAGCAGTATCCTTTGGCTCTGACTCCATTTCTTCATCTCCTAGACAATCTTCGACCTTGTTGCTGCAAACCCTTTTCACCATGGCATCAAACTCACTGGTTTCCAGTACATTTTGGAGCTCTAAAACTGACACAGTAACACAAGTATGGAGGCAAAGAAGGAAGAAAGAGAGAGTTGTCAAGATGAGTTTGAGAATGGCCATTTTTGGGTGATTTTTTAGGAGCTAGCTTTGAGTTCTGTTGTCCTGTTTTAGGGGTCTCTCATGTGGGGGACTGAAAGTAAATACATTTTAGGGTAGTTGGAAAGAAGATGTACAAGGAAAAGACATTGAAACAGGACAAGCTTCCTTATATTTATGCTACTCCACTTTGTTTGGAAATTTAGTCATTGTCTATCAATTATAAAATTAATGAGAAAATATATATATTTTTTAATCTCAAGGCTATACCAAAACAATTGGCCAAACTATATCACCTTTTTCAAATAGGTGCCTAAATTATTTTTTGACTCATCCATGTACTTAACATTATAAACGTTATCCATTTAGGTGTTCGGACCGTCAACGTCGTTAATTTCTCCCATTAAATGACATGTGGCACAATCTGATAGTTTTGAAATTTATTTTTTTAAAAATATTATGATATATATATATATTTTTATAAAAAAACATTAACTTTTCTTATATTATAAAACAACCTCAAAATCTCAAATGCTAACCTTAATCTGCGTTGTCGCTCTTTCCAGCCACGATTACCACCATCGACATAGTCCATGTCATCCTCCTACTCATACGTCGTCTTAGTTTTCGTCTATTAGCTACCGGAACTGCCGATGTGAGTTTAGGTATTGAAAACAAGTGGCCAAACTATATCACCTTTTCCAAATAGGTGCCTAAATTATTTTTTGACTCATCCAGGTACTTAACATTATAAACGTTATCCATTTAGGTGTTCGGGCCGTCAACGTCGTTAATTTCTCCCATTAAATGACATGTGGCACAATCTGATAGTTTTGAATTTTTTTTTAAATATTAAAAATATTATGATATATATATATATTTTTATAAAAAAACATTAACTTTTCTTATATTATAAAACAGCCCCAAAATCCCAAATACTAACCTTAATCTGCGTTGTCGCCCTTTCCAGCCACGATCACCGCCATCGACATAGTCCATGTCATCCTCCTACTCATACGTCGTCTTAGTTTTCGTCTATTAGCTACCGGAACTGCCGATGTGAGTTTAGGTATTGAAATGAAGGTTTTCAAAGTTTTGAGTTTATTTCAAATTTTGTCTTTTCTTTTTAAAATTATATATAATTTGGATTTTTTAATTTTAAAACTTAAGAGTTTTACACAAATTTATGATCATCTTTCTCTATGGGTTATGATCTACTTACACAATGTAAAACTCTTAAGTTTTACACAAATTTAGGATCGTTGGATGAGTGAAAATAGATATATGAGATTGACTCCTTGTTTTTTTTCTAATTAAATATTTTCACATTTCCTACTATTAATCTCAGTCATTTATTTTTACTCATCCTACTATTTTAAGTACTATTAAAGTTTAAAAAATAGTGTCTTGACTATAGGATGTTTCTTTGTTAAGTCGTCTGGCTATTAAAAGTTTCAAATGACTACTTAATTATTCATATGTTCCGAACTCACCATTTTATTAAAAAAATGGACATTTATCCATTAACTAAAATATTGATAAAATCATATTTTAATGTCTATTGGCGTTAACAATGTAATATAAACAAATAGTAGTATATTGACTTAAAATGGGTCAACTCTTCACACAAATTTGAAGAAACTAAAGGAAGTCTTGGTCAATATCCACATATATATAATAAAGGTTTGGGTAAATTTCATATTTAGTATCTACACTATCAGTTCTGGTATATTTTAGTACCTAAATTTTCAATTTTTTTCAAAACCATATCTAAAATTTAGTTTTTTGTTTCATTTTAGTATCACTGTTCAAAATTTAACGTTGAGTTTTGAAAAACTTTTTGAAAGTTTAGGCACTAAAATGATCAAATTTGATAGTTTAGGTACTTGACACATTAAGTTTTTAACAATGAGTACTAAAATGAAACAAAAACTAAATATTAAGTATGATTTTTGAATAAATTGAAAGTTTAGGTAATAAAACAGATCAAAACTGATAGTTTAGATACTACCTGTGTAGTTTACCCTAAAAGTTTAGTGAAAGTAAACGTTCAAAAAATTATTCTTTCAACAACACCTTGAACAAACTCGAGATGGACCGAGGGGACACGTGGGTGGAGCAGTCGCCTTTGAAAATTTAAAATTATTTTATATTTCAAATTTTGTAATGTATTTTCTATTAAAATCAATTTTCGTTCTTTAAAATTCGACAAGTTCTTTTCCTAAAAATGAAATTTTGCATCCCCAAGTACCTGGCTCAAATACTTCAAATCCGGATGGGGCGGTTTGGTAGAAACTTCATCGATTTGACTAGCTTGTGCACTTGATGATAAATGATTTGCTGGGGAGACAGATGACAACTGAGCTTCAACAATACCATTCACCTTGAATTCTTTATTCTCGACTCTAGGACTGGTTCCTGGTCCCTTGCTATCTAAAGTAAGTGGAATGGGAGCTTGACAAGACTCCAATGTCTTTCCGTTAAATTTTGGGCAACTTATTGGGTCTAACATCATCAACTGCAAGAAAAACAAAATAGAAAGCAGTACATGTCACCATGATGGTTATAGATCCTCCAAACTCTGTCCCCTTCTAAGAAAAAAATTGACAAATTTTAGCCATGAATGCAATCGCACGATTTTGTTCACAGGTTTTCTAACAGATAAAAGGCACCAAAGTTTCAAGTGATAACCTACCTAAACTAACACCAAAAATGTATTCAAGTGATCAGCGGGATTGTATATACAATCATTGTATAAAACTCACCATGAAAAAAATCCGTTTTTCTCCAGTCCTTCCGTTTGCGGAGATTTTCCTCAGCAATGGAGAAGGATGCAACGTTTTCAGACTGATGGTATTGCCGCAACCGCCTTTCGGGCGGAGCTTGGAATTTGACTTCGACTTGGAATAAAATGTTGGAGTCGTCACCGATCATTTATTTTTCATAAAAAAAATTGGTTGATCGGATACCACCTCACCTGATCTGCGTTTTACCAAAACTATATTGGATTCGGGATTCGGTTACAATCAAGGAAGGATTAGCACCATTGATTTGTCCTTTCGGTACCATTTAATTTGTCGGTTGTCTTAATTGCGAAAATTGAAATTAAAATTAAAATTTAGAGATTTGATTCAAATTACTTACTTTGATTGATTAAAATTATCCTAAAAAAATCATAAATAAAGTTAAAAAATAAAACAAACAAAAACAAAGAGTTAGTATTAAAATTGAAATAAAAAAATGAATAAAGGAATGAAAAAAACAGTACCAAATTAGGAGTAAATAATTACTAAAATAAAATAAACAGAAAATAAAGTGTCCAAATTAGAAACAAACAAAACAGGAAATATAACATGTTAGTGATTATATTAAAAATAATGAAATTAAAGTGCCAGAAATGAAATAAATAAAATATAGAGTTTTAGGGACTGGAATGTAAAAATACGGTAACATTTAAGGGGGTTTACTGCAATTTTTACGAATATATTTGGGGGCCATTATGCAAAACACTACAGGAATTGAGGGGACTTGAAAATGAATAAACCAATACTTTAAGCAACCAAAGTAAATGATGACTAAAAATATAGGCACCCTAAGTGAGATTAACCCAAAATTAAAACAAAAGCCATTCTTCTTCCTTATTTATTTCCAGTTCACGTGAACCCAAAACAAATGCCTCCCTTTCCCAATTTTCATTCTCATTTTTGCGATAGAACCCTAGCATTTTATCAATTTATTTTTTGCTCTAGCACTCAACCCACGGCAGACGGCTCATCCCAACTCCGGCGACGTCAACACTACCCCGACGAACACCGTGGCATCTAGGTAATTTTAAATCCCTAACTCATATATATTTTTTTAGAAAACGAAAAAATTTGTAGATAAACAAAAAAACTTATACTTACTGATTTTTTAGTTGCAATCTAAGAATTAAACAAATAAACTTAAAACTAGAATTATTGGAGTACCTAAGGATTCGGTTCTACCCTCCTCACCAAGTAAACCCCTTTAATCTATCTCTATTTTTACTACATGCTGTAAAAATATATGTTTATTATGCATATATATATATATATATATATATAAATATCATACTGGTATTTCGGGAAAAAAATTACACAAAGATACCTTAAGATTGCTTTGTATTTCCTTGAAGAAAATCCAGAGGAATCTCCCCTGTTCTTACATTTTCAGTTGGCTTTTATAGCCATTTTACATATCTAACATAATAAAAATTATTACACACTTGGTGTTTTGAATACAATATCTCTTGTGAGTGGCAGGAAGCAGGGATTAGTGGAGCGGCGGCAGAGCACTATGCGACATCAAGTTGTTTAGTGTTAGGTGAATCGGGTCGGGTTGGTCGAGTCTCACGGGTCGAGTTGAATTCTTGGACTCCAACTGGGTCTTGGACTCCACCGCCAAATTCCTATGTTCACCTTTCGCCTTAGCCTTCTCCTTCTCCTCCTTCGCTTTGTCCCTATCCTTATCTTTTCTGTGACTTTTCTTCTCTGTGTTTATCCTTGCGTTTATCCCTTATATTATCATCTCCTTTTTCTTTGGTTTTTTCTTTCCCTTCCCCGTGTCTCTCGGCATTATTCTCCACTTGATTGGGGATCCCTTCAACTCTAGCTTTATCTGCTGCGGAAAGGTTCGAGACCATATCATTTCCACCAGCTCTCGTTTCCTCCCCCATTCCTTGCACATTGAACTTCCTATCATCACTTTTCTTGGTCTTTTCCTTCTCTTCAGCCAATTTATTAGCAGTCTTAGCCACAAAACTGACCATTCCCTCATCCTTTTTCCGGTCACTACCCGTAAACTTATCCACCAATTCGCTTCTAGCTCCTGCACCTTCATCTCTGACCCTCCCCGCCAACTCCTGCACAAATTTAGAATCCCGGAAATCTTCAGCCAGATGACAATTCTGGCCAATCTTTTCTCCATTATAACCTGAAATGTGCCCAGAGAGTTTCTTCTCACCTGACGAACTGCTTCGATCTTTATCCCTAACCTTCTCTTTCTGGATAAACTTCTCCGCACTGTGACCTTCAGATTTTCCGGGAAGTTTCTTCTCATCTGAGATTTTCTCCCCATTCTGAACATCGGAATGACCAGAAAATTTCTTTTCCTCTGAGTTATTACTTCTGTCCTTTTCTTTTTCTTTATCTCGACCCTTTTCCTTCTTTTTATCTCTGTCTTTTTCCTTTTTGTCTTTCTTATCCTTGTCCTTTTGCTTTCCATCGCTTCTATCTTTCGCCTTTTTTCTTTCTTTTCTCTCTTCTTCTCCTCCTTGTCTCTCTTCTTCTTCTTATGACTCTTCTTCTTAAGATTGTCAAACACAAGTGCATATGGATTCAACTATTCCAACAGATATTAAGAATGTCAAAACTCGGGAAGAAACCGATTCTTCCAGATATAGTCAAAACAGACACCAAGTAAATTCATGTGTTCTTAATTAATGAATAACTTTATACTCGAACCAATAGGAGAAGTGGTTGATATTCTATCCCAATATTTTTTCATCCATTACTTCTCAATACATTAATCATAATCAGTAAGGACACAAAATTAGTGGAGGGGAGCTAAACCTTAGGACAAGCTTGATTACACACGGGTGTCATCACTCGTCACTTATCAAAGGTTGTAAACAATAACATCATCGTCAATAAGAACAGAAATAAAAGTGCACATTAAGAAGGATGATTGAAAAATCCGCTAAATCCTGAAGAAAAAATAGTAAAATTCTTTATTGTGTGATCCATAGTGCAAGTCAAACATCAGTTAGTAGAAGCTTATCTCTAGTGAGGAGAAAGAAAAGGTGAGAGATATTAACCCGACTTGATCTTTCATTCAACAGGGTATTGGCAAAATTTTGTTCTATGAATTAAATAAATCATCAGAAAAATAGTATAATAGAAAAACATGACATAGATTCATATAGACCATATACGATTGAAAGAACAATTGAGATGTTCATTCAGTCGTAAATATAACAACTAGTGACTAATGGTGAGTATATAAATTAGCACCAGCAATGCCAGTCTACCGTTTCAAATAAGGCTCCATTTCGACTTCATTTCAAATAAAGGCTCCATTCCTATATGATATGTTCATGATACAGCCTATCAACCTAATCCATAAAACTATATACATGCCTCATTCAGCAAGGCATGGCGTTACTGAATTCTCAGTAAAAGTAGTCACAGAAGATTATGCATACATAAAATACATTTTCAGAGGAAAAAAAAACTTTATAAAGAGTTTAACATCGCATGGAAATAAAAACAGAATGCGTAAGCTCAAATCCAATTCAGATATCAGGGAATTTGTTCTCATCGCGATACTGATGTGTACTGATTCTACCATGATAATGGCGCAGAATACAAGCAAATGATGTTAACCTTATTTAGCAAGTCCACGTCATTGGTCCTAGCCTTCTTTTCATATCCTGGTGGTGGGAAAGGAAAGCAACGCGACATTTCACAGAAGTTTAGAACACGAAACGATAATGCCTTCCGAACGCAAAAACACTTGGATTATCTTCCAGTAGCAATGCTCCAGAAAGAGAACAACAAGTAACTATGCTCCTATCCATGCACCATATCCCTGCATACATTTCCAGCTTCAATGTTTCCTCATGAACTCCCTGTCACTCTCGATAGCTCAAAGAAGTTCCTAAATCCACCAAGCTCTTTAATCTCCCTAACCTCAAATGTAGCCCCAATTCAACTATCTAACACTAAACAAATCACTTCGAATGACAAAATCACCGCAGCAAAGTCTCCAATCACTGCTAAACCTACTCTTATCTTTCCCTAAGCTACTTCAACAATGCCCCAAAATAGAAATATAACTTCAAGAATGCTCTTCTGATCAAGAATTCTAGCTCAAAAACTATGATAAACCAAATGGGGTTTTAAGAAACAAAATTAGTCCAGTAAAATCTGACACTCTCTGTTGTTTGCAGCACAATAAAGAATCATCACCTTCTTCTCCCAATAACACAACCCAATGCCAAAATCATCCACCAACTGAGATCAACCACATAAAAATATCACTAAAAACCCAAACACCCTTTTGTCTAAAACAACTAAATCCTCAAGCTTTTGAATCACTATCTACGCAAGTAATCATGAAAGCAATCTTCTTCAACGTCCAAAAGCTTTCCAATAACCATTTCCCTTAAGCAATCCGTTTAAAAACCAAAGCTCGAGAGAAATAGCTCCTCAATCCGATACTGCAAAAACGAGAGGTTGAGCTCATTCATACTCTGATCAGAACCCTAATCAGTTCCCAATTCGGGAAATTCCCCCAATCCGTTGATCCGGATGAAAACCCTAGAAACAAAAATATACAATCAAACAAAAACTCCAACTGAGCAAACACCAAGTACCCATTATACAAAAATAGAAAACTTTAAGAAGACCCCAATTTTATCCAACGATTAAATAAACGAAAAAAAAAACTAAAAAGGTTTTTCAAAATAGAAACTTTATCTTTCTGAGTACCATAAGAGTAAATGGGTATCGATCAAAAGCCAAAAAAAAAAAAAAAAGCTTTGATTCAAAGCGTGAATGTTAAACAAAATAACCCTAAATCAGTTTTCGAAATAAAACAAAATTCGATGGTAATTGGGAAGATTAGATTATTACCTAGCCCGCAACAAATTGGGCATTATAGGAAGGAACAATATCGTTTTTTTTCTCCCTCAAATTAATAAAAAAATTAGATTATAAAATCACAGATTAAAGAGATAAGCAGCGGAAGTAAGTAAAGGTTTAATCCCAGTTTTTTTCTACCTGTTTTATGATTTTTTTTTGGGTATTGAAGTGTTGGGTATTTTGAGAGAAATAGAGGAAATAAAGAGCTCTTCTTTCTTCGAAGAAGGCTAATTGGTGTTTGCTGTGGAAGATGCACGCGAGAGAGAAAATGAGGAGAAAATCAAATCCAAACAAAATTAAAGTTAAAATTAATAAAGAAAGAAAAAAGGTCCAAGAAAAAGGCCCAAATAAATTGCAAAACTCATGTCGTAAACTTTATATATATATATATATATATCAATCATTGATTTGGGTAAAATTACTCCAATAATGTGTTAGAAAATATTATTCATGTAAAGTATAAAGAAAATTGCTTTTTAACTAAAGTATTTATTACGATATCGGTTGGAAGTCATCTGAATTAGACAATGATTTTTGAAGGATATTTGTATCATCGATGACTTATGAAACGTCATCAGTTATCTCTGTTATTGTGCATGCATGAAGCCTGAAGAAGACGTTATACACTCCAGACGGTTTTCAGAAATCTTCATCTATTTCAGACCACTTTCAAGGATAGTATGTTATAGATGATTCCTAGAAATTGCCATGCACCCTACACATTGCCCTGCACACTACACGGCCAAAAAAAATTCAACACATTATTAAAAAAAATCTCATTAATTTTGATAATTCAATATATTAATTAACTAATTTAGACAAAGTTTTATAGAGACTAACTTATTATAACGACAACTCTTCTAAATTTCTTCTAATTCAGAAAGGTTCGACGATTGAGTGCGAAGCCACTTCCTCCCCACGTGAACATGCTTTTGCTCATTTGCTGCACATTAGTGAGATTTGAGCTTTATTTTTTTATTTAGTTTTGAATGAATGAGTATCTAACTATTTAAATTAAATTAATAGTGTATGAATCAACTTACTACAGTGATTTAGCGGTCAATGTCAAATGGTTAGGAGTATTTAGAACATATACTATTTTATAATCTCCTTACTTTAATAAAAAATTAAATTAATGCTGATTTTTTTTAATCCAATCTTGTTATATATGCATATTCATTAGGGTTATGCAAAGATATTAAGCAAATATAAAAATTTACTAAATGATTTTATGTTTCGTGTAGATTGTTGTTTTTGTATTATTGTCAGTAAGATGTATGTAAGAAGCCATAAATAACACAGACTCATCGGTTTTTTTACATGACTTGTTCTTATAAGGTTAGTTTTTTAAAGAAAAAAATTGAGTTTGAATTGGGTTGATTTTTTTAAGGTATAGTCGTACGAGTTTAGGATGAAAAAATGTTAATATGATCGAAAAAATAGTTGTAGACACACTTTTTATGACTGAAATAAACATATATATATATTGTACAATTATTATTATTATTATTAAACTAACATATTCGTTTCATTTCTGTATCAGGATTATGAGTGGCCCAGCAGCACACACGAACCGGTCAATCAGCTGCAACCCGCGTGAACCGGTCCAAGCCCTCAACACCGAATCAATCCGGGGCTAGGGTTTCCAGAACTTAGCAAGCAGGCGTCGTTTCCCGCGAGGACTCTTCCTCACCCGCAGCTCCGATCTTCACGCCGAACCGTCCGACGCAAGGACCTCGCAAGGCAACCACCAACAAACGTTAAAAGAGCAATTTGTATGCCATTAAGACTCCTAAAAATAGGGTCTCTTTTGTACTATAAATACCCATGTAATCACATTCAAAAGGGGAGCCGCAAAAAAAAAATTGACACAGACACACAAGTTTGTACAAGGTTACAGAGAAATCACCACACACGCAAACTCATCATAGCCAACACAAAGAAAGTTCAAACACTTGTAGAGTTTTTTGAAAAAGAGAATAAAAAGGTAGCGTTTTTTTTTCTCACCTTTGTTTGTTCGTATTTCATCGTTGCATGTCGAGTGTTGCTTGCTATTTTGCCCGGAAAACCCCAAGGAAATGTTCGGCCGATGACCAGGGGAGAGGTATTTCGAGTGGATCTATCCTAGATCTACCCTCCCGAGGCCTCCTTTTCATAAAATCAATATGTTTTTTTTCAAACGAGGGTACAGAGACCTCTCGGAAAAATGTAAAATTTTGGATTTTTGCCGCCGATGAACGGTGGTCGTCGCCGTTCAACGGCGGCGGCGAGGCGGTGACGGGTTTTTTCTGGGTTCATCAGGAACCCAGGTGGCGGCGTGTTCATCCAAGGATGAACTAAAGAGAGAAAACGAAGGGATGGGAGAGGATTCGGCTTGGAGAAGAGAGAAATGAATATTTGGATAAAAAATTTGATTTTATACTTAAACCATCCGCGTGCTTTTAAGAATTAGTGGGAAAGTACCCACTTTGGTCCCTCACTGTTTTTTAAAGCCTGATTTTAACCCCCAATCGCATTTATATCTTGATTTTCGTTTCGGATTTTGGCCACTAAATTTATTTTTATTTCAATTTAGTCTCTTTTATTTAATTTTTTTATTTAACATTTGTATTTATATATATATATATATATATTATTATTTCTTTTCGTTTCCTTTTCATATATAGATATTACTTTTTAGTTCTTTCGTTTATTCATTTTTATTATTATTATTATTTTTCTTTCCTAACATTTTTTACTTATATACATGTGTTAATTTTTTTATTTGTTTTTTCAATTATTTTTCCACATAACGTTACTTACATATATATATTTTATTATATATATATATACGTTTTGTTTTGTTTTGTCTGTTTTCCATTTTTATTATTAATTATATTTTACTATATATTATTTTGAGACTTGACTAGCTCACAGTTTTAGAAAGCAAGAGCCCACCGCCCATTAATTAATTAAAAGGGACATGTTCATGGGTCAAGGTTTAGGTGCTCAGTTTCTGACACTCTCGAAACATGAGCCTAGGATTGGCATATTATCATTAACTTTTTTTATTATTTTACGTTTTATTTATTATTATTATTATTTTCTTTATTTCTTTCGATTTCTCTTTCTTGATTATTTAATTTTCTTTTTATCTAACACGTCTTTTGACTTTTAAAGGATATGTTTTAATTCGTCAGAGGTAAAATAATTCGGATTGTTATTTTACCTTTTAGTTTAAATTACAATTTTCTTAATTAAAGACAACTGGAAATTACATAGTACCGAAAGGGTGGTTCAAGGGTGCTAATCCTTCCTTGACCGTAACCGACTCCCGGATCCGACACATCTTTGGTACGACGCAGATCAGGTAAGAAATAAGGTATCCGATCAACCCATTTTTCATAAAATAAATGATCGGTGGCGACTCCAAACCAATTAATCCAAGTCGAAGCCCAATTCTGGGGCCCAACCGAAAGACGGTTCCGACAGCTTGGCGACTCCGCTGGGGACAGGTAAGTGAGTCAGGCTAAGGTAATTTCCAGTTGTCTTTTTAACGAAAATGGTAAGTTTAAATTTTAAGGTAATATTTCGATCCTTTTTACTTACTTTTGATTATATTTTCGAGTAAATAGTTGGACTAATCGTTTTCTCATGATTTCAGACTTCAAAGTTTTTTTCATCTAAGGCTCTATACCCGAGCTCCAATTCCTATTTTAAGTGGGGGTGAAAGCGACGCCTTCGTGTGAATTTATTCACCGTGCGGGCCTAGCAAGTAGCCTTCGGGATTCATATATCTTATGTCTTCATGTGAATTTATTCACCGTGCGGGCATAAGAGAATGTGTCCCCTCGAGTTTAACTTAGTCCACACAAGCCTGTGATGGGTTTAGGACTAAGGGTCTGGCAAGCCCAAGGGGGCACCGACAAGGAGAACTCGGGTACCGTTTTTTTAAACCTAAACCGGGAGACCATGAAGAATTAGAGCCTACCCCGAAACCACGTTCCAAAACTTAGGATATTTTTACCATAACCATGTTTTTTTGCGTTTTTTCCTTCCGTCATTTTTTTATTTTTTTTTTGTATTTTTATTTTACTAACGTTTTTGCCTTTGTGTTTGTTTTCTAGCGTTTGCATCATTACAAGAGGCTATTGATCCCTAAAAAGCGTTTGTTATACACAAAATAATTCGAATTAATGGACAAAGGTGTTGTAATACAAGAGATTGAAAACGCTGAGGCACGACTATGGTCCGAGAAGGCTCAGAAAGAGAAGGGAGACAGTCTTCAGGGAAACTATGTGTTAGAACTGGTTAGTTATGCCGCTGTCAGCCTGAAACAGAATAATGTCCAAGAGCTGCGAAACATTTGGGACAGTTGGAAGAATGACAGAAAGCAGAAGTTCAGCCTACGATATGGTGATATCGCCCTCTTGCTCCATGTCAAGACTGATGAGCCCTTACTCCGAGCATTAATTCAATTCTGGAACCCTGGATATAGTTGTTTCACCTTTAACCAGGAAGACATGGTGCCTACTATCGAAGAGTATACTACTCTACTGCACTGCGAAAGCATCAAACTAGAGAGGGCATATATTAAACATATCAAGAGTCAGCCCTTCAAGAACGGACTGGCCAAGATTGCAGGGGTTGATGAAAAGTGGGTGACTGATCGACTCCGGCACAAAGGTAGCGGGGAAGTAATCGAGTGGATCCATATAAAGCAACTAATGAAAAACCACCCTGATGAGTGGAAGACTATAGACCTTTTTGCACTGGGTCTGTACGGTTTGATCATATTTCCGAAGGTTTTGGGGTGCATTGACGCTGCCGTGGTGGAACTATTTGAGCAACTTTCTAAACGAGTTAACCCAGCACCAGCCATCTTGGCCGAGACCTTTCGATCGCTCAACCATTGCCGAAGAACTGGCGGAGGAAGATTCACCGGGTGCATTCAGCTCCTTCAGGTCTGGATTCACAGCCACTTCTAGAAGACTGACGGGGTTGCCTACCGCCGTTTCAGCACCACCTATTCACCTCTAGGTGAATTTATTACCTTAAAATGGCATGAAGGCGCTTCGAAAGAAAAATGGATGAAGGTCTTTACGCATCTTCAAGACCGAGATATTGTCTGGAGAGCCCCTTGGTTATTCCTCAGTGATGTTCTTTTTCGATGTGGTGACTCCGACACTGTGACCTTACTTGGACTTTGGGGAGCAGTCGGGTATGCTCCGCTATTAGCACTTAGACAATATGGAGCACGTC